GCCATGGCGGGGGAGTCGGGGTCCCCCCCCCCCTTTCGGCTTTAAATTTTGGGTTTTTGCCGTCATCGTCGCTGGGGGAGGTCCAATGCGGCCAAGGTTCGTTCGTCGGCACCGCGACGGGCGCTTGTTTTTCCCCCCGGGGGGGGCGCGCGCTTCACAATCTTCTTGCGAGGGCGGGAGTCGGGGGCAGAGGAGTTGTCGGGCCTTGGCGCGCGAGGGCGCAGACGGAGCTTGATAGGCGATGGCGCGTGAGCCATGGGCGGTGTGGGCAGCTGCGTCAATTGCGCGCGCTCTGGTGGTGGTGGTGTTGTGAGGAGAGACTGCAGCGAGCGGCAGGTGTTGAAGATGTTGCCAATGGCGGGCGCGGAGGCAAGGGTAGGAGGGCTGGCGGGCGGCGAGGCGAAGAGGGCCGACTGCAGGCGAGTGTGAGGATATGACTGGTAGTGCTGCTGCGACGCATCGCACGAGAAGGCTGAGGGCATCAGCATGGTGGGTGGTTCTGGTTGAGTTGGTGGTAGAAGAGGTTGGTGATGGGCGCTCGTGGCGGGATGCGACTGGTTTGCGACTGGTTTGCGACGATGAGATTGAATGCGCCGGGTTCGAATGAAGTAGTGTGCGGATGGTGAATAGCCTGAAGCAAGACGTTTCGAAGACGATGAAGCGCTCTCTTTAATGGTGCAGTGTTGTTGGAGTTGGTCTCTTTTGTGCCGGATGCGGTGGAATGGGTGATGATTTGAAGTGTTGACGGATGCGGCAGAACTGGCAGGCGTGGGTGGGTTGAAGGAGGGAGAAGTGAGGGTCGGAATGGCAGGTGGGCGGTTACGGGGGCCTGTAGTTAAGGTCTGCCCAGGCCCAAGGTCACAAGTTGGCAGGCAGATCCCGTCGCTCAACCGGCAATGGAAGGTGGGTCGCCTTGGGGTATCTGATTGGTCGGCCCGAAGTCCTGGTCTGATCAGGTACAGTGAGCCACAGTGCGTCGCGCCTGCCCTCCCTCATGTCTTTGGTCGCGACTACTCTGAGCGGCATCGTCCTTGCAGCCTGGGGTACCTGACCGCGACGCATGAACTACATCTGGACCTTCCTCGTGGTCTGGACAGGTACAAGTCCGGGCTTCACTGTCTTAGCTCACTCGCGCTTCTTCCCCCCCACCCACAATGCCCTTGCTACAGCTCGATGAAAGGGCCCGAAACAGCCAAACCTCCTTCAGGCGCCCCCGGTTGTCTGTAAGGGAGCGCGATATCGATCTTCGCCAGGGTCGCCAAGTGCTCACCTTGCTTTTGCCGCCCCCGCTTCCCTCAGCACTCTCCCCCTCTGGTCCGTGACTGTTCTGTCTTTGTCCTGGCCATCAGTTCATGCAACAACCACGCAAGCTGAGAGGCACTTTGCTTCTGGCCGAGCAGCAGGTCATCCGAGACAATGTGGAGGGAGACGAAGGGTTGACGATGCCTCTTTTCGATGCACCCTTCTCCCTGAGCATCGCCCTCAGCTTCACCCTTTCCCAGTAGTTTGTCTCCCTCTTCACCCCACTCGCACTTGACATCCTCAAGCTGATCTTCTCTCATCCGCTGCCAGATCGCGAGATCGACAGACATGTCAGTCATGTTGTATTGCTCCCCTCCCCCTCTCCTCTACCCCTCCTCCTACGTTGCCCCTCCGAACTAACTGCAGACCATACACCGGTTGATACCGATAACCCCTACACTAGGGGGGCTGCCGCCGCACCGCCCTGTACTAAGGGTACGGCTCGCTCCCTCCCTTCCTTCCACATGCACATGCACCTCACAGTCGCAAGTCCAGATCGGCCTCCACTCATCCGCCCGAACAGGCCATCTGCACTTGCTCGGTAGCCAGACCATCACGACGTCCTGACAATCTGACTCGTCGCGCAACGACTGTTGCCTCTATTCAGATGGTCCCTTTTTTTTTTTTTTTGTTCACATGTCGAAAAGCTTACGACCCGTCTAGGCCAGCACTCTGTGACGAGCAACTCAGAGTCCAGCCCTGAAGCGCGAAAGATTTGCTGCATCTGCGCCATGATGCACGACTAGTGAGGCGCGGCAAGGTCGGCAGGTACCCTGATGGAATCGAGCAATTGATCGACTTGGAGGGGCCTGGTGACAGGAAAGCCAGGACTACAATCGTGACTGTCCCTCTCGCTCGTCTCTCGGAGCAACAACCTCAGGTCCCACTCCACGACGGGCACTATTGGACTGTATCGAACCAGCTTCTGTCTGCCCGCCACGAGGCAGCCAGGGCCAGGGAGACCAAGAGAGGGGCCCGATCGAGCGCCCGATGCAAGCACTTAGACGTAAACGCAATGTGCAGCCGCAGGCCTTTTCTGTCTCAGCCCTCGCTCATTGGTAAGCGCCCCTCGCCTGCCGTCATTATGGAGCTTGCACACCACTTCGCGGCGCCTTGGAGTGTGTAAACCGCGGCGACCACACTCACCACACGACTCGCTCTCTCTCCCTTCGAACAACGAACGACACCCACGAACGCCGATCCAGGGCAAATTCCCAGATCTGTTCAACGTCTTTCTGGGGCCGGTCATCTCCCGCGCAACTACCGCCGCGGTCGTGGCGCACATGATCCGGGGCCGGAGGGGCACTACCGCTCGTCCGACGCAGGGCCAGCAGTCGTCTGACGATGAGGGGCCCCAAATCCAATACTGTAGAGGGGCGGTGTAACAATGTTCTCGACTTCTACCTTTGTCGACTTCTGTCTTAGGTGGGGGAATGGGCAGGTTCGCATGAAGTCTGCGGGACACAGGCAACCCCTCTTCACACCTTGCAGCCCTGCGTAGTATTTCGCTCATGCTTGGGTCTACCTGCAGCGCCATGGTATTCTGCTTCGGACTCGCAGGCTTCTACGCGCCGAAAGTAGCACGCCGACATGTCTCGCCTGCCGGTCATTGCAGTAGTAGATCGCGGGCACCTATCGGCACCATTGACGCGACGAATTTGCACTTGATGCGAAAGAAGCGGACAAAAAGCAATGAGCAGGGCCCTTCAGCGGAGAAGTGCAGCTAGGAAACGTGGTCCAACTCGCTCATAGTACCTTGACGCACTGTCTAGGTCTGTCTTGCGACGCACCTTCTTTCTCTCCCTGGCCACGGGCGCTGTCGGGCATCCGACAAGGTGGATGACGTTGGTGGACGCGCGACGCGGACGCGTCAAACGCGTCTCAGCGCGGCCCCGACGCGACTTTGGCGTTAGATTGCCTGCATGAGCCCCTGGCCAATTATCACGCGCTACGAATGCCACGAGAGTTGTGGTTGGTTTGGAGTGATCCACAGTGTCTCGGGTGTCTAAGGCGCTAGGATAGCCGTCTTTAACGTCCACCACAAACGGCTGCTGCTTTGTCCCTGATTTTCAATCGCTCCGTTACGGAGCCGGAAGTGGCACGCCAGCATGTTACTGTCCGCGGCTGCGTACCCCGCCAATACTTATCGCAGCATTCCAATGCCTTGTTTCACCACCAACCTGACAGATGGCATGTCTCTCATGATTACCTCCAGCTTGACCTGGCTCGGTCTTCCTTTGAATTCGCAGACAAGCTTCATTGAGTTTGAGTACTAGGCTCAGCCGGACTGTAGCTCAACAAGGCACAGACCTGCAACGTCCGGTGAACACGACGGTTCAGTCCAAATCGAAGGAACGCAGGCCCTAAGGTGTCGTCCGCCATTGTTTGACATTGCCAGTGACGTATCCCCAGGCCCCTACAGGGGCCCTCATACGGGTGACTTTCTGGGTTCTTGCGAGTGTACAGGGCAAGGCGCTGGTCTACACTGAAAGTCGAGATCGAGATTTCGCAAACCATCGCGATGGAGAGTTCCATCGGCCTTTTTGGGCCATTCATGCAGTCCCTCTACCAAGCTTCGCCGCACTTTGCTATGTCGGCCATCATCTCCGTGTGAGTAGCACCCGGCGCAGCACGACAGCGACTTCGATCCCTCGATCCTGGCTCGGGCTAAACGATTGATATGACCGCCATCCTTCGGTCATGGTCATGAGGTTTTGAGAAGCATCTGCTCGAGGTGACATCCCGGACTAGGTGTGACGTCAAGTGCTCGCCTGGCCTCCATGCCCACCACTGGCAGCCGCGAGATGCTGTTTTCAGGTCCCTGCACGCTACACCTTGCAACTGCCTTCGCTTTTCCGGGGTCAGTGTACTGTCCCATCGACCCTGTGGTCCCTGAGTCGAGTTGGCACGGCCTTGGTCATAACCCATGCTGACGATTGCGTAGGTCCAAAGGTGAATCACCTCGATCACACACGAGACACATGTCGATTCGATTGGGCTCTTCCTCCGTATATGTCCAATTCGTTAAGCCCATGTAAACCCGCGCGCGCATTTCTTGGATCCAGCCCCAGGAACCAGTATTTTGGTCGCCACGAGAGAACAATGCGATGAAAGAAGAGGTGCTTGTCGAGCCCGACATGGCTGATTGCCTGATCGCCTCGTCCTCACTTTCTGAGCATCACATGCATGACGTTGGTCTTGACGCGCCAGCGTCTGCCGGTGGGCAGACCCGCCTTCCCGAAAGTGCACGGCTCCGCGACATGTTCGCGGGAGGCCGACGCCGACGCTAATTGATTTTTTTTTGCTCTCCGGGGCGGAGCATATCACCCAGGGATTTCTTTTGTTTGTTGTTTAACACAAGGCGATGGTACCTTGAGTACATACCCGTCCATGGAGGAACTCAGGTCGGCCGCTGACCGATCGGACGGCGGACGTATCTCTGCCGCTGAGCTGCTTATAGCGGTAACGCTGAGACATGGAAGCCTGACCGACAGTGCCAAGTACCTGGAATAGCCGCTCGACGTTATAATCCACAGATCTGCTAGAAAGCGCTCGAAGAGGTCCGGCTTCAGCTGCAAGCCGCAGAGTGAAGTCATTGGGGCTGGGTGATCATGTAATCACATGTCGTTCATGTTCCGGGTGCTGCTACTTCTACCATAAATCTAATGATCTAGTCTGATTTCTTCAGGTGTCTCCCCCAAAAAAACTCAACCCCCAAAGCCGCTCTGCCACCAATGCCTCCCCTTGATCCAATGGGGGCACGCATCCCAGTCGATTCTCCAGACGGCGTGATCGACCTGCCCGCCTCCGAGCAGCCTGACAAATGACACGGGCACTGGCTCAAAAAGCCACACACCTGACATGGCAAAATCTTCGGCCGCAGGCCAGACGGTGGCGTGCAGCCACAGCACCACGAAAGCCAGATTCCCCGCGCGTCGCACTGAACGAGGCAAGCCCGCGATCCACGGAGCCAGCGCCTTGCATGCGGCGCGCTGCACGGCGACGCCCAGGCCGGCGAGCGCGAAGAAGACCATGGGGTACCAGACCGTCGTGCGGGGCACGACCGTGAAGCTGCCGCAACCGTGCAGGAGACCGGACTGCACGAAGGCGGCTGCAAGGCCGATGAGCTGAGCGGCGTGCGATCGCGGCGCGAGGTGGCCCCTTTTGACGAGGAAGGCACCGGGTCCGGCAAAGTCGATACGGAAGGTCTGGTGCCACCAGGCGGACCAGAAGCCGGCGAGGCCGCGATCGAGGACGGCGACAGGGGACCCGAAGACGGAGCTGTACTGCCAGAGCTCGGGGCGGGCGGGGATGAAGCGCGAGACGACGTGGCGCTGGATGAGGTCGTGCATGGATAGCAGGTAGGCGATGGCGGTGTAAAGGCCGAACAGGATCATGAGGTGGCGCACGACGGGGACGAGCCAGAGCGGCAGCAGGGCGAGGTGGCGTGGCAGGGGCAACGCGGCGGCGGCGGCGGTGGAGCCAAGTACGAAGTAAGGGTCCTTCATCATGGCGACTTTAATGACGTCGAGGACCAGGTAGGCGACGGCGACGGCGCGGAGCTTGGCGACGTTGAAGGCCCGCTCGGTGGGGTAGGTCGCATAGCCGGCGTGGGTCACAAGTGGCACCGTGTCCATGCGCACCTTTTCACCGGAAAGGGGTTTCTCGGGCCGCTGCGGCGAAGGGATAGTGGGGATGGCCCAGGACCAGCCGGCGCCGCGGAAGCTGGCGAAGAGCTCGAAGGACCAGTAAAGGCGCTCGGAAAAAGGGGCCGAGGCAGGGAACGCCTGCCAGGTATAGTCGTATTTCTCGACGTCAGCACCGGGAGCCCATGCTCTCACCTGCGAGGATTTCTGGGAATGGGCGGCGTGTCCGTTCGAGACGGTCGATTTTGAAGCTGGCGTCGGGACCTTGGGATGCCGGCGCACTCTCTCGGCGTCAAATTGCGGCCGCATCCACACGAGCATGGTCAGGTTGTGCATGATGCTCCAAACGGCCCACAACCCCGTGACGTAGGCAATGGCCACGTTGCTGCTCGACGTGGTACGCACCATGTCGAGGTTGAACAGGATAACGACGGCAAGGACGAGCCAGCGGGCGGCGTAGAGCCAAGGGCGCTTCGTGTGCGGCACGGCCATGTACAGGATGGGCAGGACAAAGGCCGGGATGAAGTGGTAAGGGATGTTGAGCGGGTTGGCGCGGCCGGCGGCAACGTCTGCCTTGAAAGCGGCGCGGTGTTGAGCGAGGAGGGCGGCTGCCAGGGCCTCAGGCTGGGAGACGGTCATTGTCGATGCCAGGGTTTCCAGTTCTGCTGCTGCTGCTGCTGGATGAAGTGCAAAAGGTGCCGGTGCTGTGCTACGTTATGCTGTCATGCTGCGAAATGCACGCTCCAACCACGGATGTATGAAGAGAGAGAAAATGGAAGTAACAGCAATGGCGACAAGCTGGCGCGTGATTTTGAGGTGCGAAAGAAAGTCAAAAAGACATTGTAGCTTCCTGGGCGGGGCAGCCGCGTGGCACGAGACAGCAGAGGCTGGGGTTTCACCTCGAGAAGCCCTCCCTGGTGAGACTGGCGAATGTAGGTGCAGGAGGTGGAAAAGAGCTGCATGACGATGTCAGCTGCACCAAGCTGAGAGATGATGGCCGGTCGAGGCTGAGAAGTCGTGAGCACGGTTCGTTGACTTCATGACTCTCACCGACAGCAGTTGCCCCTCGGCGCCCATCCCATCGTCATTGCCTAGTGCAGTTTTTTTTTCCGCGTGTGAGACTTCCCCGTGACGTCAACACATCACCTGCCTCCCTGGCGGGCCAGCTGCTCACAGCTGGTGTCCATGATGGGGGTTCGAGGCGCCTCCATGAACAACAACCCAACAGGCCAGCATCAATTTGGTCCGAAGGAGACAAACAAGAGTTGAAGATGCCTCGGATAGGGCTGGCTGGTTTAAATTGTACCGCAGATCGCCTTGGCCGAACGAGCGAGCGAGCACGCGAACATGCGAACAGGCGATCAGGGTCCGACATTGGGCGCCGCCTCCACCTAAAAGACCCGACCAGGTGGCCAGGTCGATAAACGAGATACGAGGCCCGAGATCCACTCCCGACTGCGAACGATCTGCTTACTACGAGCTCAGCCCCCCCCCCACCCACAAGACAAGCCAAGCCTCCACTTGTCTCTCGTACGTCGTTCATCCATCAATACAATCTCACACACTCCATCTCCCATCTCGTTTGTGTGGTTCACCACTGTGCCTCGTTCATCTCGATCTTGCGTTAGACCGAATCTTCAATCCCTCTTCGTATCGAGCCATCTCTGACGTATCTTCATGCCATCCGTGCCGTCGCCCCGTTCCCCTTCGCCCAACGCCTCGGGCATTGCTCCCCTTGTTTCCACGCACCGACGCAAAGCCCACACAAAGTCGAGGACAGGATGTGTCGAGTGCAAGAGACGGCGCGTCAAGGTACACTGGAGCTCCCCGCCCCCGCTGGTCAACACGTGATGCTGATGCCGTACCGCAGTGCAATGAAGAACGTCCAACCTGCAAAGCTTGTCATCGCCATGGCGTCTCCTGTGTATATTTTGGACAGCCGCTTCCTCGGGGCCGAGCGACGGTGGGATCAACGTCACCCACATCCTCCATCATTCCTATCACCAGTACCGATAACGGCCAGCTAGCTCCCTCTCCTGCAGACTCACACCTGAATACCGGTTCTCATGGCCCCAGCCCGGCCGCCGTGTCGCCCTTCTCGACGACCACATCCGCCTCCCAAGGTGACGCCCCGTCCTTCACCCTGCATGACCTCGGCCTGCTTCACCACTGGACCGTGTCGACAAGCAAACTCTTGATCACCCATCCAAAGTTCGCCCACATATGGCAGATCACGGTACCCGAGATCGCAACCCAGCATGAGTTCCTCATGCACGGCATCTTGTGTTTGTCTGCATTGCACCTTGCCCATGAAAAAAAGCTCACAAAATCGAGCTTCGTGCGCGAAGCCGCCGCCCACCACACCCTCGCCATACAGGGCTTCAACCAAGCGATCAGCGAGATGGACGAAGCGAATAGTGAGGCACTCTTCGCCTTTGCAGCCCTCAACATTATTTGCACCTTTAGCCTCACCAGGCAACTCGGTGAAGAGGCCGCTGGGACCTCGAGACGCAGTATGAAGGATCGCATCCTGGGGCTCGAATGGGTCAACATGATACGCGGCGTCAGCATCGTCCTCGAACCCGTCCACAGAATCATCTGGAGCAGCCCTCTGAGGGTTATGCTCGATGTTGGCAACTGGGAAGAGCTGAACCCCGACGCCGCCGCCGGCGACAGCGCCCGTCATCTGAGGGAGATTCGGTCGGCGTGGCGGGGGAGCAGCGATGCCGGTGCCTACGATGACATTCTGCGCTCGCTGATCAAGTGCTTCATGTTTGTCGAACAGTTCGACTCGTTTGATGAGCAAGCGCTCGAGTCGTTTGGCCATAACCAAATTTCGTCGGGGCCCATCATGTTTATCCTCGTCGCGCCCGACTTTTTCTTCATGCAGCTCCGTCAGCGGCAGCCGCCCGCCCTCATCATGTTCGCGTACTTTGGCGTCATCTTGCACCGTCTCCGCAGCTTCTGGTTCATTGAGGGGTGGGGTAAAGACATTATCGAAGTGGTGGATGACCTGCTGGGCGACTACTGGCGGCCGTGGACGTCGTGGCCGCTCGAAATGGTTGAGGCCGGCTGATGAAAGCCACCGATAGTGGCGGCCGAGATTTGTCCAAATTCCGAAGCGAAAGATCAAGACGGATCAGTAGAGATGAGTTCATTCGGGTTGGTCCTAGCTCTCTGTCACGGGTCGTACATGGTATTCGCAGGGTCCGTAGGCCAGGAGCATCCAACTCCTTGATTGCAACTCGATTGAACGTACGTAGTCATTCGCCACGATCATATTCGCCTCATTGGGTGTCTTTAGCCCGCGGTCGTAGCAAGGCAACTCACATCATCATGACGTTTGTATTTTCTCCCAACAGCGCGAGACTCGACAAATGATCATCAGGGACGCACGTCTTGTCTGAGGCTCGCCAGGACCTACACTTTGTTCGTATCACACTGATTGATTCATGTCTATGAAGAGGAAACTGGAGCTCTTTCGTCTAGGCAAGCAACGCGGATCGGGATTCAAATAAGACGTTCCAACTTGACAACTTTTTCTCCTCCCTGGTGTTTCACCTGCGACCCATCTCCATCTCCACGTCATGCTGCCCATGACGGCGGCGCCCTTTCTGCTTTTGCTTCCTCTCCAGATGCCCCACGTACCACACGGCAAAGATGAGCATGCAGAGCGCCATGAGGAGCGCGTCGAATATGTACAGGAATATCTCGTGCGAGATGAGGTAGCCGCCGTTGCCCTGCAGGTACTCGACGACGCGGAAGACGCTACGCACGAGGATGATGGCGCTCGTGGCGTAGAGGACCCAGAGGTAGCGCCGCCAGGGGACCTTGGCGGCCGACGCCCCGGTCGGCGGCTGGGTGTTCATCCTGCGGTGGAAGAGGACGGACGTGACGACGAAGAAGCCGAAGACGACGATCTGCACAAAGAGGCCCGCGATGATGATCTTCTCGCCGAGCTTGTACAGGTCGAGCGTGCCGCCGGACTGGATGCCGCCGCCGGCCGCCTGCAGGGAAAAGGCGACGACGTCGCCGGTCACGAAGATGCGCGTCACCCAGTCCACGGGCAGCAGGGAGAGGTGCTCGGCGCGGAGGGTGCGTATGAGGCGGCCGAGAATCATGTAGATGGAGGCGGCGTAGAGGGCCGGGGCCACGAGGATAGGGATCGCCTGGACGATGAAGCCGGGGATGGATAGCTTGTCAAAGTGGCCCCATATGCGACCGCAGTAGCCTATGACCTGGACTACAGAGGGACGATGGTCAGATCGCGGTGCTTGGGCTCGACCACTGCATAGGGGTGCGCGCTCGGGAGGAGCAGACACTTACGGATGCCGCCAATGACGAAGGCGTAAAGTA